GCTTATAGCTCGAAATCTCGAGATTTATTTTCCATAAAATTGCAAAAGTCATTATATGGATTAAAACAATCTGGACGCATGTGGTATAACCGTCTCAGTGAATATTTGATTAAAGAAGGGTATAAAAATGATCCTATTAGTCCATGTGTTTTCATTCAGCGATCCGAATCAGGATTCGCCATAATTGCAGTATATGTTGATGATTTGAATATAATCGGAACTCCTAATGAAATTGAAAATACTGCAAAATATCTCATGAAAGAATTTGAAATGAAAGACCTTGGGAGAACAAAATTTTGTCTCGGCATTCAAATTGAACATTTGAGAAATGGTATTTTCATCCACCAATCAAATTATACCGAGAAACTTTTGAAGCGGTTTTACATGGATAAAGCACATCCGCTCAATTCTCCAATGGTGGTTCGATCTCTCAATGTGCATGATGATCCTTTCCGACCTTGTGAAGATGATGAAGAAATCCTTGGTCCCGAAATACCATATTTGAGTGCTATTGGAGCATTAATGTATTTGGCTAATAATACTCGACCAGATATTGCTTTTTCTGTAAATTTATTAGCCAGGTACAGTTCTTCCCCAACAAGAAGGCATTGGAATGGTGTCAAACATATATTCCGATATCTCAATGGTACAATCGATCTTGGATTGTATTTCAAGAATGGTGCAAATGCCACTTTAATTGGCTACGCGGATGCAGGATACTTGTCTGATCCACAAAAGGCAAAATCACAAACAGGATATTTATTCACCTATGGTGATACCGCTATATCATGGAGATCAATGAAGCAAACATTAACTGCAACATCATCAAATCATGCAGAATTAATTGCTCTTTATGAAGCAGGTCGTGAGTGTGTCTGGTTGAGATCAATGATCCAGCACATACAAAATGAATGCGGTATAAAATCTTTTACTTCTAATCCTACTGTGATTTATGAAGATAATACATCATGTATAGCTCAGATCAAAGGAGGTTACATCAAAGGAGACAGAACAAAGCATATAGCACCAAAACTTTTCTCCACACATGATCTTGAGAAAGACGGAACGGTTGATGTCAAACAAATCAAGTCATGCGACAACCCTGCTGATTTGTTCACAAAGTCATTGGCACCGAAAAAATTTGAAGAACTGGTCCATAAAATTGGAATGTATCGTCTTCGAGATATATGTTAAATTGAGGGGGAGTAATATAATGCACTGCACTCTTTTTCCCTTCGTCAAGTTTTTATCCCACTGGGTTTTTCTTGACAAAGGTTTTTAACGAGACAGTACATTATAATACTATGAATCTAATACCCCAGAATAATTAGAAGATGACCATTCAAGGGGGAGTGTTGAAATATAATTGAATTAGTCATCTTCCAACTATTCCTGATTAGGAATTATTATCACCATTACATAAATAATCAGGAAATCATAATTATGATTCTAGATGATAATTGTGTGGTTCACAATTATCCTCTAATCCTATGAAGCTTAACTTTTCTCCTATAAATAGGAGGCTTCTCCATTGTAATTAACACACCATGGTTATACCATTATCACACTCTCAATAATATAATCTATCACTAAGTGTTCATACTATATTTCTCTCCCTGATCTTCTGCTTATTTCCTTCCATATTATAACAATATTCACCACTATTAAAACATTAATAAGTTTTTAAAAATTTGATAGAGGGAAAACTATCAAATAAGCCCCTTAACTTTTCTAAAAAATCAATTAGGCCCCTCTACTAAAAATCTGATCAATCAAACCCTTGAACTATTAAAAAAGAGGCAAATCCTCCTTTTAACAGGTACCTTCCCAGTTCCCGGTCAGATTGTGTATGTGGCGCCTGAGGTGGCCTTTTTTCCTTTTCTTTTTCTTTTCTTTCCTTTTCTTCCTCCCTGCGCCTCTCTTCTTCTCGATCTGCGCCTAGCAGGCTAGCACCTGCAACTTAATGTCTTCTTTCTTTCCTATTTCTCTTCTCCTTCCTAGTTCTCTGCTCGTTTTTCCCGGCCTCACTTCACTCCTTCGTTGGTGTATGCTTCCTCCGACTTCCGCCTATTCTCTTCTTTGCCGCCGATTATGGCCTATAGCCGGATTGGAGCTACGAAGCAGTCGGAAGGACTCATCCGCTACTAGGATCCATGGTTGCTGGTACCGAAGGACAAGCCTTCTGCAACCTATAAAAGAGGAGTCTTCAGAGTTCAGCCGGAGTTGCTGGACGAGAAGAAACGACCTGGCCGTCGCTACTTCCCGGCGAGATTCTCTAAATGGCTCCCGGAGCTATAAAACGGCGGATGGAGAGAAGAATAGAAGACTCTTCTTAAATCGGGAGTGGAAATGTGGAACAAAGAAGATGGAAGAAGGGGGTTTACCGGAAGTCTGGAACAGGGGGAAGGGGAAAGACGAAGGTGAAGGAATAAAGTAAAAAGAAAGAAAAAAGAAAAGGAATAACGAAAGAAAAAAGAAAAAATAGAAAAAAAATTAAAACTGCTTTGTACAAAATAACCGGACAACTTGTTGATTGCCGGTCAAAGTGGGGATTTGCCATTTTTTATTGAGTTTGAGGGTTTAATTGATTGGATTTTTAGTAGGGGGGTTTAATTGACTTTTTAAAAAAGTTGGGGGGCTTATTTGATAGTTTTCCCATTTGATAGAACAACTAATTAATGGAAAAGGTACTATGATGAGAAAAAGTAGGTAGAGAAAACATTTAGAGCACGTTTGGTAGCACCGACATTTGGTGAATTGACTGATTCTATTGAAATTTATGAAGTTCTGGATGAACTGATTCTGCTGATTTATGAAAAATATTATATTTGAAATGTTTGTTATTAATAAATAAATTAAAAATTATATGAAAAATAACTAAAATGATCATCTACACTCACTTCAGCCAATACATCCATAAAAGTAACTTGAACCTTACTTTTTCTTATAATTACATAATTCAGCGCGCGCAGCGGCAGAGCCAGAGCACTGGACCGGAATGGGCCTGTACAAATAACATTTATCGGAAAAAGTTTTAAAATGTGGAGCTCTGAAATACCTTTGATTTGATATATTATGGGTCCTGTAACTCTTTATGAGTAAAAAGTTATGACTTCTGAAAAAATCAGCATCATCTTAACTTGAAATAAACATATTTGATGTGTGACATTTATTATATTCCTAAATTTAACAATACAACACCTTATTCAGTCATTAGTTATGTGAGCATTATGATACATTACATATATATCAATACATTAACAGAAAAATGCTCATTAAACTACCATTTATCTCAGTTACATATGAAATATTTAACTCATGTATTGTATAATAACTATCCATCATTTTGATATTGACATACTGTATATAATTAAATTCCGACCCCCCTCACACATTTTTCTTGCTCTGCCCCTGAGTGGGATGCATAAATAAATGAATGAATACCTGTTGGGTTCCCTCCTTAATTGAGAAGTTAATGAGAAGCGTGTATTGAATAGTGCGGAGATGTCTAGAATTCTCTATATGTGTGTAGAGAAGTATTGAATGTTTTAGAATATTCCGGAGCTTTCTAGAGAGACATGGATCTAGAAGTGTGTGGAAGAGTGTAGAATATTCTAGAACATTGTGGAGCTTTTTAGAGAAGTGTGGAATTCTCTAGAATCGTGCGGAAGTGTGTAGAAGCCTCTAGAATAGTGTTGTATAGAGAATCCTAGAGAAGCTTTGAGAAGAGTTGTATAAATAGGGGTGAGACTCCTCATTTCTAGATGAGAGTCATGAGGAGGCATTGAGGGTGAGCCTCATGTGAGTGAGCCTAGAGAGAGAGTCTCCTCAAGTGATAAGAGAGACAGAGAACCTTGAAGAGAGCTCTTGAGTGAGTGAGTGCCTCTTTGAGAGAGGGGTGTGAGAGTGAAGTAGTGCCATATACAAAGAGTGAAGTGAGCTATCCATTTACTTGTAAAATATCTCTTGTACATTTCAATTGTATAATACAAGTGAAATTGTTATATTGTCCATTTAGACTTGCAAATGGCAAAGGCAGGCCGGCTAGAAACCCAGCTACAAACTGCCTTCATAAGGTTGCTGCCGCAGCCTCCATTACCCAATGATTCCTAATAGCGACCATACTTTTTCGCTTTGTTTTGCTTCTTTTAATGGTTATGTATGTACTTCAGATTCTTATCTCTAATCAATGTATTATTACGCACAATGAAGCATAGATATTATATAAATATAAAACTAATTAACAATATCAATTCAGCCCCTTTCTCCGATATCAGGGCCGGTCCTGGGGCATGCGCCCAGGGCCCTTTGCTCCAGTAGGGCCCATAAATTTCTCAAACATATATGTGTGTGTACATAAATATTTTAATTATATATACATCCTAAATCTATAAAAAAAATCAAACATATATTTTTAGATACTTCTAATTTGTTATTTACCATCTACACGATAGAAGTCTATAATTTAGAAACATCCACATTAGAATTCGTTGGGAACATATTTCACCATTTCTTTTGAATCATTACGGATTATTACATTAAATTTAATCTTTTAGTGACTTAGTGTACATGTCTTATGTATATCCAGAATTCATTGATGTATTTCACAAATTTCCTCCAATTCTCTCTTTAGTGAAAGATTGAACTTTAGTGTCCATAATTTAGAAGCTTAAAATTTGTTTTTGTCTAGTGAAAATGTGATTTAAAATATGAAATAGTCACTCCTTATACAAGATATAACTTTCACAACTTTCTTTAATTCAAAATTTTTATTGTGCCTAATATATAGTTGCAATACTTGTTTCACTCGGGTGTTAGGTACATTGTATCATCGAATGTCACTTATCAATAGATTCAATACCCTCTATATATATTTTCTTACTATATGCTTTGTTGGTTTTTTGTTGTGTTATACTAGTATTTTGACGGTAATATTGTATGATTTTAAATTATACTAGTAGATTTTTATAGCAAAAAGAACATTATAAACATTCTCGCGCTATCTCTAAGGCCCAACCTATTTGTATTGTCCCGGGCCCATAAAATGTCAGGACCGGGCCTGTCCGATATAAATATATGTCAACGCCTATTGCTAATACAAAAAAGGGGTTAAGACTAAAATAATACTAAAAGTCAAGATATGGACGAAAAAAGACATTAGTCTACAATCTTCCGTAAAAGAGGCTAATTATTATCAAGAAGACCATTATACCCTGCCACCGACGTCATACTGACTACTTGTAACAGTGACGTGTTAGCTACAGTGACCTCCGACCCGTCCACAGTGACCTCCGCCTCCGTCCGCCGCCGGTCCCAGTGACCTCCGCCGGCGGTCACAATGACCATTTAGTCAGTTACCACCGGCGGGCATAGTGACCTGCTGCTCACTGGTCAGTTACTACCGCCAACCACTGCAGGCCCCTGCCGATGACTTGCCGCCAGTGACCCTCGTCAGTGACCTACCCCCGGTGACTCGCCGTCAGTGCCATTCGTTCAGTGACATAATATTTTCCGATGGTACACCACCAGTTCCTCCGCCCTGCTCCCACCAGCCCCACCCATCCTCCTCCAGTCCCTCCCAATCTCCCATAACGTACAAACCTCGCCCCTTGCACAACTAGCGCACAACAACCCCCAATCTCCGCTTAGCAATCGATCTGAACCCTAGCCTTTCGGATCTAAACCGCCACTGCCGAAGAGGTTTATTGCCGAAGAGATTATCTTACCATGGAGGCATGAATCATAGATAAGGTGTTGATTTTTATGATTATCTTAGCAGCGCCATTCACATGGGCCAATTGATAGCAAATTAGCAAGTACACCCACACGTCAAGCTAGAATGTAACGAATGTTTATGTACTTATGGGCAAATTATTGTAGGAACATAATCAATATGTATATTTCAGCATGAAAAGTTACTTTTTGGCTTCAAATACTAGCTAGTTATTGTTCTAACTAGAAATTCAATTTTTCTTCCAGGAATTCTTTAAAAATTCCACAATCGCTCATATCTCCAAAAATAGTTTCAGGCCGAAATTCAATCCCTCGCACAATGAGTGATTGGGCGAACTGAAGACAAAGATTTAACACACAAGATTCAACATCACTGCGATTTCCTTCCGCGTTAAAAAAAGTCCCAATTTCCACCTCCAACCACCCGTCATCTCTAGAAACAGGAATTCGCACATACGAGTTCATTCTATCACGCACAACTCTACCTTCATTGTCAACAAATCTACACCCAGTGAATGAGACATTGAAGTAGCTACGCTTCGGTGATAGTTTGTACACCAAATAGGATGAGTAGTGTGTTTCTTCATATAGCTTTTGACGGCTAATTCTCCCAAGAATGTTAAACATCCTACCGGCCATTAAGTTCAGTACAGCCACATCAGATGACCTTTACCAAAAAAAGGTTTACTTAACATTTGACTTATTAAAAGAAATCATAAATTAAGTAGGAGCCAAACATTCAATAACCCGTCTCTATTAAAGAACATGTGCAGTGAATAACCTGGCGAATATTAGCTCTTGTACCATAATCTGGCCATTTGAATAAATCTTCTCAGTGAAAACAAGTTCTGAGGGTGCAACTATGAAACATTTCTTTCCTGTGCTTTTCTCGAGAAAGAAACCCTATTTTCAAGATTTCAAAGGTTATCCGAAAAGAGAAAATTCCTTAAATAAAACTAAAAGAAGGACCAAATTCATAATTATGAATATCATTATCTTATTTTCAAAATAGGAGTCACGAGCTCACTCGTATTTTGGGAAGTTTTAATCCAAGGATGCACGTACCAATTTGCCTCCATCGAGGAGGATATGGGAATGAGAAAGGAGAGCATAAAGATCCTTCTTGGTGGGTGCTAAATAAGAGGGAATGGATGATTGTGAGACGATTTCATCAATATCGGGCGGCAAAAACTTCTTCCATACGCCGTCCGATTCAGTCGCCGATTTGAAGCGTTTGGAGATGACCGAAAGCGCCGATGCATCGGCCGGCGAAGTGAAGGAAACGATTTCAGCGATGCATCCCTCCGGCAGTTTCGCGAAAAGGTCCATATCGGTCATCTGATCTGTTGCACTAAGCCACTAAATTCTCGGCAAGAGCTGATTATACGCAATTACGAAAATATGGAAGTACGTGATCACCAAGGAAAGAGCTGATTATACGTGATTTTAACTCTACAACTAAAAAATCGGGAATAGGTGACCAATGATAAATGGATAATTACCTAATTTGGAAATTAGGGAGCTATACTAAGAGCATCTCCAATGGTAAAATGTGCACGGTGCACACGTGGCATGAGAAATGACCACATAAATATTAGTAAATAAATTCTTTTTCTCCTTATTTGAATGATTTTATACATTTTTGGTAAGTTTTTCTCCACAATGTCAATGAGACCGTCTAGATGTTGACATTGTTGTTGACATTGCAGGGAAAAACTTACCAAAATTGTATAAAATCATTCAAATAAGGAGATAGATAATTTATATGCTAATATTTATGTGGCTATCACTCATGCCACATGTGCACCGTGCACATTATAGCATTGGAGATGCTCTAAGAGCATCTTCAATGCTAAAACGTTAACGGTGCATACGTGGCATGAGAAATAACCAATTAAAAAAAATTAACTAGAATATCTCTCTCCTTATTTGAAGGGTCTTACATTATTTTGGTAGGTTTTTCTTCACAATGTCAAGCACAATGTCTAGATGTAGACATTGTGATTAACATTGCAGACAAAAACTTACCAAAAACACATAAGACCGTGGAAAGAAGGAGAGAGAAATGTCATAAAATCAATATTTTGTGTCTATATCTCTCTAATATACTATACGAGATAATTACCTAAATACAATTTATTTTTTATCTCTAATATCGTTACTTGGATGCAAATATGTAGGGGTGTTTGTCAATTGACAATTGACGATTGGTTGTTAGCTGATTGTGTTGGCCGACGATTGATAAAACCGGATTCTATTGGCAGTTTTGATTAGCCGATAGTATTAGTAGTTTGTAAAATGGTGTTTCGTTAAACGGTTGTTTATAATTAGTTGATAACTTGTTAAATGACTATTAAGGACATTGATAATTTTCAGTTAATGTAATTAATATAACATCCTAAACAGTTTGTGTGATTTGAAATGTAAAATTTACTTTACATAAGCAACAATCTTCGTGATCTTTCTCCATTTGTATTATTATTATTATTATTATTATTATTATTATTATTATTATTATTATTATTATTATTATTATTATTATTATTATGGAAAGGCATTTTATTATGATAATAAAAGTTGAAGATTACAAATGACAAGTAGGGAGCCTAGTAACAAGTTGAGCTCCAACAAGTTATTATTATTATTATTATTATTATTATTATTATTATTATTATTATTATTATTATTACTACTACTAGTGATGGAACCATGGATCACAGCCATGGCCCAAGATTGAATTAAAGCAAGCCCATCAACGGGATCAGCCCTCAACGGGATCAGCCTAATTAACAGGATTAGCCCATAAACAGGAGTAATATCGAATGAGCCACTGGATCCATTGGGAATCAGGCCCACGATAGGAACCCACAACCAGGCCGGGCTGGACAGCAGACCTCGAACCTGGGCGGAGTTCTACGTGGCAAGGTACCATTTTATTTAATATTTTAGGACTACTTTTGTTGTCATGGATTAATTAATCTATTTTGACAATAATTTCACTACAACAAAATGGTGTTTTTGCAACACTTTATTTGCAACACTTTTTTTTATGTTACATATAACATTTAGACGGACAATTATGCAACAATTATTTTTTAGTGTTACATAAAAACGTTAAGTATACATATATGTAACACTTATTAAAAAGTGTTACATATCATTAGGTTTTTAGTAACATTTATTACGTAAGTGTTGCATAAAATAAATAAAAAACGTAGTCTAATTATAAGCAGAGCCGGCTTTTGGGGGTAGGCACCTAGGCATGTGCCTAGGGCACCAAAAGCACTAGGGGCACAACTTTTGAAAAAAATATTAATACCGTGTAGTGTGTATTCCTTATCTCTAACAATTTCATTAAACAAATAAAAAAAGAAAAGAGTATTAGTCCACAATAAATCACGTGTGTTAGATGGGTTATGCAACACACGTATGAATTTTAATTAAAATTCAATCAAATCTATTTGTTGCTACACAAAACTGCAAGGTTACTCTACTTCTCATAAATTATTTTTAGTCTATTTCCAAACATGTCACCCGTTCATAGGCCTAAGCAAACATAAAAAATTAAAAGGGAAAAACTTAAGTGTTTAAGCATTGCCATACAAATTTAGTGAATTTTCTTTTCATTTAAATACAATTTTACCAAGATTTACAATTTTATATACAATTCAATTTGTGCAAATGAATTTCGAAATATTGTATTTTCTACTTGTGTCATAACATATATATCTGAACGTGCTCCTTATAAATTATGTTAATATTATTCATTGCAAATTAAAACACATTCAATAGCTTTTAGTATAATTAATTGTAATTTGATTAAGTTCATGTCGTATTGTTATTTTTGAAGTTTTCACTATGAAAAGTCAATAAACAAATGGACCAAATAATACAAGATTCAGGTGCTTCAAAGAGAAAAACTTAGGATATTTTTACTTGGACCATAATTTGCTGGTCTGATCTGACCTGGTCTGAACTGGTCTGGTCTGAACTGGTATGATAATGTCTGGTATCTTTGTATTTTTATAACTGTTTAAGTATGGTCTGATCTGGTCTGAACTGGCCTGGTCTGGTCTGGGACTGCAAACAATCTAAGTAAAAACATTCTTAATAAACAAACAAACATGTTTCCATATAGGGGCGGAGTCAGGACACTGGGCCAGACTGGACCGGTACAAAGAATATTTTTGAAAAAAAAATTACACGCAATTTTTTACACTAAAATTAAAGACATTTTTAAAATTTGGGCTGGGCCAGGTCTGGCCCACCCCTAGCTACGCCACTGTTTCCATATTACTCCACGTCATTTTAATGATTGTCTTTGAATTGGAGTGTCTTATTACATTTTTTCTTTTAATTCTCATTAAATTTAATTACTCTATATATTTAGTTTTAGTTTTTTTGTCTTGGGTACCAAATTTTCTAAAGACGGCCCTGATTATAAGCTTTTCCAAAAGCACTTTTTATAAGTGTTAACCGCTAAAGTTAGTTGCCAATTGCAATATACGAGTAGTATTACTATGGATGTTTTCTAGTAAACGATTTTCCGTCTCAGACCATGCCAGACTAGACCAAACTTCCGTACTTATAAATTGGAAAGAGACCAAACATTTACAAGACCAGACCATACCAAATTAGACCAGGCCAGACTAGACCAACTAATTTCAGTCCAAAAGAAAACATCGATATCTTGACTTGTCAAAAAGTGTAGTATATCTTGAAAAAGTAAAAAAATCGGGTCGCGTAATGTCCATACAGGGCGGGTTAGGATCGTGTTTGTTTTTTAAAATTTTGAAACATGTGAGGCCTATATTCAAATGTTAGATTCTGGGCAATTTCTATGTTTCAAAAATGCGAGTACACGATTTGGATTGTTTTTTTTATTAAAAAAATATGTATTTTTTTAAGAGATGAGACTCACTCCATTTAGTTTCAACCCCTTATGTGCTTAGCGCGTTTCGAACTCAAGACCTGTCACTAAGCACGGTAAACTCGCAACCAGCTGAGCTGGAATGCTTGGTTTATACTCCCTTCGTATTTAAAAGCTTGTTAAACTTTCTTATTTGGGATGCATTTAAGAGTCTGCTACATTTATCCTTTTTGATAAGTCTTTATTTAAACATACCCAATCAACCTTACATTTTCCACTTTTTATCTTCTCTTTCCTACTTTTTCACTTACACTTCTACTTTTTCTACATTATTCATTTTCTTATTATTTTCTCCTTAAATACAACTGTGTCAAAACCTAATGTAATGATATTTTAAAATATTTAATAATATACTTCGTACTTCATACTAAACTAGTAAAACCTAAACTCTAAATTGCGAAATGCTCCGTATGAAATACGAAATCATAAAAAAAAACATGTGAACCGCTAATCCAGCAGTCCACCACTTTCCTCAGAGCTTTCCGCTAGACCTAAAACGCCTTTCATCTTCGACGTAGAGGGCAGACCACCAGAGAGGAAGAGATGGCCGTCGACGCAGAGGCCAGACTACCAGATAGGAAGAGACGGTGCTCCGTCGACGCAGAGGCCAGAGGCGTCGATCGTCTTCCGTCGACAAAGAGGCGCCATTGACCGTCGCCTGTAAGCTTCGACACAGATACGAATTGAAGCCTGTAAGCTTTGACGCATATACGAATTGAAGCCTATAAGCTTCGACGCAGATACGAATTGAAGTACGAACTACGAATGACTTCAGGGCTCCAGCTTCCCATATCCTGATTCCAGGTTTTTAAAATTATTAATCTAATTATTTAAACATCTGTTTTGTTTTATCTCAGTACATTCAATCAGATTCTTTGATTTTGATTATACGTAGTTATGAAGTATGACCCACTGCAACAGGTGACTAAAGGATTTGATTAAGCTCTTTCTGCTTGAATAAATGTGGATAATGAGGTGGTGATTAATTGTGGAAGTTTGTTTTATCCTTCGCATGACTTGGGTTACTGTGATTCTGTGAAGCCTTAGAATTCAATCGCCACTACCAGTTGGCATTTACTACAGGGAAAATGTAAGTCAAGATTGCTCCAAGTTGCCATATGAAGTTGCTACACACTCGTTTGATAATTGATACTTTGATAGTTATGATTTCTGACAGTTAGGTTAAATTACTTTTAGACGTTGGATTAATTCTATTTTAAATTGGGCAGTAGCTTAGACTCTTAATCCCCTTTTTCTATTTTAGTCTTCTTTTCTGTTTTGAATTGGGCATTAGCTTCTTTTCTGTTTTAGTTTTCTTGATTATGAAGAGTTCAAATTTCAATGAGAACTCAATCCACCTATGTTTATTCTCATTGCCTTGGTTATTTTAATACCCGATATCTAGGTGCAATTCAAGACAACTACCTGAAGACCCAGACGGAATCAACCCATTTCAAACAGGGTGGGAAAAGATAACTGTATATCATGGTTTATGTTTATAGCTAAATGCTTTTTTACTGGTTT